TAAGACCAAACAAACAGTTATTAAGCAAAATCGAAATAGGAAAATGGAGATAACCAAGAAAATGCTGCAGCAAACCAAAGCAATGGTGGCCTTCGCTACCCGTACACGTGGGAATACTAAATACAGCTTTCAAATCACATGCATCTGCTTAGCTTTCAATATATATATATATAGGGTGGCCCTATCAGGAAGTAGCTGCGGGAGCATAATACGTTGGGCCATGTTTTCTGTTGTTTGGATACGGAGACGTGACTACCCCACGCTGTGTATAAAGACTCCCTGACCCTGAGTACTCAGTCACTGATCGATCTATCTCAATCTGCAGAGACAGGAATGACAGCGATGACGTGTACTATACGAAATAATATACTCCCCATTTTAAAATACTACTTACTACTACTACTCTGCAATATACGTAGACACGTGCACCCACTCATTTGCTCATTATTCTTCTACGTACGGTTTTTTCATGCCCAAATTTACTTCCACGGCACCGTTCCACCTGTATTTTGGTCGGATCACGATACCGTATACATATATTAATTATTTTTTAAAATATTATAAAATTTTTCCACGCGGATGTATATTAATTTTTTTAATCTCATTTGAAATTTAATTTATTTGATAATTAATTTTTTAATTTTTAATATTTGTTTAAAACTTTATTCAATTATTTTTATTTGAAATTGAATTCTTTTATCATGTCTTAACTAATTAAAATTATGTCCAAATTTATAAATATTTTAATTTTTTCTTCAAAACCTTTTCTTTTCTTTTAATTTTTTTAATCACTATTTTTTTAGCATTTAAAAGAAAAAATAAAATATACATTATAGGTTTTGGTCTACTTTTAGCTACATGATAATTACTTATCTAATGTCTAAATTCAAACAAAAAAAAAAATCTAATTTGAAATAAAAAATAATTAGAAAGAGATCCAACTCGAAATTGAAAGTTAAAAAATTAATTTTTAAATGACTTAAAATTTAGAAACTTTTTTGGACTTTTTAGCTTTTTTTTTTTTTTTTTTGTAGATAATAAAAGAAGCACTATATATTAAAAAAAAAAACCATATTTATTCTTTCTTTTTAGACATTTTTGTTACGTATTATAACGTACATTTCTCACTCACGTATCATTTTAAAAAAAAAGATTAATTTGTAAATTGGTTTATAAATGTTTTTAGCTGTTTTTTTTTTTGAAAAACATTCTACAATGTGAGACTCACTACAATAAGTGCTTAGTAATTCCATTTTGTATATGTGAAAGAGCAGTCTAATAAGAATACTTAATAATTCGTATTTTTTTCTTTATTAAACAAATTTAAACTTTCAAAAGAGGTTGAAATCTCATCTACACATTCTAAAAAGAACTAAGAAAATTATACCATTAGGAATCGAGCATTTTTTAATTCTCGCACTTCAATCCTTTATATATTCTATAATAAGATGTATACTAATTTTATAGACAATAGTTTTTAAATATATTTACTAAAATATGATGGACACGATCACACACTCCGAATAAAGTATTAAAATGATATTGTATTTTAGATTTATGAATAATTATTATTCTATAGACCAATATATATCTCATAAGATTAGAGAATTTATTCAAATTAGATTCAGTAAAAATTGGGATACTATGAATTCAATAACCAGAGTTTTTTTTTTACTAACTCAATGAAAGTTATTTTTTTTATTTTTAAATATATCTATAAAAATATACATGCAATGAGTAAACTATGCAGCACGTGAAATCTATCCCATGTATGAGTAAATAATAAATTAATCCCTCTCGTTTTGAAAAATAAATTAATTAATCTCTTTTTTTAAAAAAATTAATCATTTAATTTTTATATTTTGAAATCTACTTGTAATTTTGTTTTTTTTCCTCCTTTTTAATTTATTTTGATTTTTTATTTTAAGAAATAAAAAAAGAAAAAATATGAAAAAAATGAAAAGATTAGTGAGAGAATAAGATATTTTATAGAATAAAAATAATATTAAGCTAAGCATGATCAATGCTAATTAAAAAATTAAATAATAATTTTTAAAATAAAGAGAGTAATTATTTTTTTCAAAAACTAGAGGGATTAATTTATATTTTTCTCTTCCACTCGTAAAAATAATATAATATTCATCTAATATTAACTTAGTCAAGAAAATAATAAATTTAATTTTGATTGATGCAAAATTGATTTAAAAATAATTGTAAATTATAAATTGTCCCTTTAGTTCCAAGAAATAAATTAATTAGTCTTTCTCATTTTAAAAACTATTATTTAGTCCTTAATTAGTATTAATCATGGTTAATTTAATATTATATTTATTCTATAGTTTTTTTTATTTTCTCATCAATATTTTCATATTTTTTAAATATTTTCCCTTTTTTATTTTTTTTAAATCAAAATAAATTAAAAATGAGCAAAAATGATTAAATTATAATTAAATTTCAAAACATAAGAGTTGAATGATTAGTTTTTAAAACAAGAGAAACTAATTAATTTATTTTTTAAAACAAGAGACACTAATTGATAATTTACTCTAAAAATAATTCATTGCTTGTAAAAAGGAAAAAAAAAAAAAAGATAGTAAAAGAGTGCTTTTCTTAGGATCAAAATATACAAAAAAAATTCCCGTAAGCCAGGATTCTATCTTCTAAATTGTAGTACTAGTTTCTATTTAGCACGTAGCCCTAAAACCGGCAAGCTGGCGTACAAATTGGCACCACGTGTTCTGCTTCTTTAGCATCCTTTTTTTTTTTTTTTTTTTTTTTTGGCCTTTAGAAAGAAAGAAGACATCCAGTAAAATATGAGCTTTTTTTTTTTTTTTCCCTCTGCCTAAAAATGATAACTTTGAAGTTGTCAGCCACAAATGTTGATTCCATTGTCGCCCTCTTTAATTGACTTTACAAATCCTAAGAGTAGGAAGAATTAATCAAGCATGTCAGCATTGCATTAAATTAATGTAAATGAGAACTATATACCTTAGTGGGTTAATTAATGAATTATGTCCGTATAACATGAAATAGGATCCTCAGTCACGCATGCCAATTTGTTTTCTAGAGAAGAGGCACAAGACAGGACTTGATTGCAATAGGTCATGCAAGAAAAGGATTGTTTTGGAAAGGCCAATTTCCCTTTGGAAGAAATGGGTTGGGGAACCTATAGCTTTCACATAGCATGGTGTCATTCCTTATTCGTGTATTCGATTAGGCCTTTGTACGAAGATGCATCATTTATATATCCTTTTTACCAAACATAATGTAAAAGGGCATGCCAATGCAAAGTGAAAGCCAAGCTCTCGAAATTTCATTTCTCCAACCAAACCAATATGAAAATTGAGAGAAAAAAGGGGGCAAAACTATATCAATTTACGTACATGATGTGAATAATGAAGACCCATATGGCAAATACTACCTCTATTTTGGTTTTGGAGACTTACCATCCTCTTGTCTTGGGGTCTCTATCATGTAAGAGCATGATAAGGAGTGTACATAATACGTGCACCCATTGGTGAGACATATGGGTCGGTGGCGCAAAATAAATCCAAGTGGGAAAACCATAAGGAAAAAACAGATTGATCAGCATGTTTGGGGCAAAAAGAAAGCCGGAAAAACAAAAAGAGCCTTAGAACAGGAAAAAAGAAAAAGAGAAGATGAAGAAAAGAAAGAAAGCGAAATGTGAGAGAGAGAGAGAGAGAGAGAGAGAGAGAGAGAGAGAGAGAGAGAGCGACACAGCAATCCCTGTCTCTTTCACTACCTCCCTCTAGTGATGGCGTGGTTTGCTTTTGCTTTTTCTCTCGACAGGAATCTTTGAAGATCGAAAGGGATCCTAAAAAAGAACAAGAAAAAAAGAAATTATAGAGTAAATTATAAATTAATTCTTTTAATTTTAAAAAATAAAGTAGTTAAATCTTTTTGTTTTTAAAAATTAATCATTTAATATTTTATATTTTAATCTCATCAATAATTTTGTTATTTTATTAATATTTCCTTAGATTATTTATTCCTTTCTGAAATTGTTTTTCATTTAATGTTTTTTTCTTCACTTACCTTTTTTCTCTCTCCTCAATTAAAAATTTTAAAAAAATTAAGAATAAAATTATCAATATAATAAAAAAATTAATGAAAAAAATAAATTATTGATATAATTAAAATATGAAGAACTAAATGATTATTTTTTTAAAAAAATCAATTAATTCATTTCTCTAAACAAGAAGGACTAGTTTATAACTTATTCAAAAATTATGGTAAAAAAAAAAAAAAAAAGAATTTGGGCACCTCCATAGATCCTCGTTAACTTCCCCCTAATTGGTAAGGTGAATTTGGCAACAAGTTTAGGATTTACTTCATTGCAGGTTACAGACATGATCAAACAAAGTACAGTACAGAGTATTCAACGTTATTGAAGTGACAATCTTGACATTAACAAGGTTGTATTATTTGAAAATATGCTCATAATGAATAAGATATGTTTATGCATATCTCTGATGATATAGATGATGAGGAATACTCTAAACTTGTTTAAGAAAAAGCTTAGCCACGATTAACATGATCCGATCCCATTGTCAAACAAGCAGAACCTGGACATCTAGACAGACTGACATTAAATTAAGGATATAGGGTAATAGCCCCAAAATAGTCCTTGCACAGGGCGAGTGCCCCTAGACTAGAGAATTAATAAAAAAGAAAAATAGAAAAAAAAAGAAAAATAAGAAAAGAAAAAGACTGTCCGAGTGGGGCATTCTAAATTCTACGCGGAGATTTTTCTTTTTCTTTTTCTTAGCTTTTCTTTAATTTTCCCGTTGGTTCCATCATTTTTCTCTCACTTTCTCTTCACTCTCTCTCTCTCTCTCTCTCTCTCTCTCTCTCACTGTCCGTTGGAACCAAACAGTTTTCTCTGAGAAAATCCCTCTGTCTTTCTCTCTCTTTTCTTCCCTTCACTCTTTCTTTCACTCTAATATGAGCAGAGGGTGCATTACACACCACCACCGGTTATGAATCCCACTACCGAACCACCACAACTTCAGCCACCTCAGCCACCGCAACTCCACCGTCCTTCCACTTCTTGTGACCGTCACCCAGAAGAACAGTTCACTGGTTTTTGCCCTTCATGCCTCTGCGAGCGTCTTGCCGTGCTCGATCCCAACACCTCCTCCGCCGCTTCTTCTTCCTCTTCCCGCAAACCCACTGCCACCGCCGCCCTTAAAGCTATCTTCAAGCCTCCTCAACCGTCCAGCTCCAATAATAATAACAATAACAAGTCTTCTTCTTTTTTCCTGAACTCCGCCGTACTAAATCCTTTTCTGCCTCTAAAAACGAAGGGTTTTCTGGGGTTTTTGAGCCTCAAAGAAAATCTTGCGACGTTAGAGTGAGAAATACTCTTTGGTCTCTCTTTAATCAAGACGACGGGAGAAACCCTTCTGGTAAAAAAGAGCCCTTTAAAGGAGGACCTGAAATTGAGGCTGTTGAGCCCAGAATTTCTTGTTCTAGTGTTCGAGGTCCGGTTTTTGAGTCCAAAGAAGAGGACGAAATAGAAAGCGAAACCGACACTGAAAATGAGAATGTGAATGCCAATATTGGTGGAGATGTTTTGGTTAATGGGGTTTTAGAGGAGTCTAATTTGACAGCGAGAAATTCGAATGCAAACCCAATTGATGAAATTATAGAGGAAGAGGAAGAAGAGGAAGAGGAGGACGAAGAGGAAGACGAAGAGGAAGACGAAGAAGAAGGGATTGTTATAGAGCCAGAGCCAGCTCAAGAAGCAGTTTTGGAGGAGCTCAAGACTATGAAGGACCATATAGATCTTGATTCGCAGACTAAAAAGACTTCAGGGAGGGATTTTAAAGAGATTGCTGGTAGTTTCTGGTCTGCTGCTTCGGTTTTTAGCAAGAAATTGCAAAAATGGAGGCAAAAGCAGAAGCTTAAGAAGCAGAGAAATGGCGGTCCTGGTTCAGCTACATTACCTGTGGAGAAGCCAATTGGAAGGCAGTATAGGGAGACTCAGTCAGAAATTGCTGATTACGGGTTTGGTAGAAGGTCTTGTGACACGGATCCGAGGTTCTCTCTAGATGCTGGGAGGATTTCTTTTGATGATCCTAGGTATTCTTTTGACGAGCCTCGTGCTTCTTGGGATGGATATTTGATTGGAAGGACATTTCCAAGGATGCCTACAATGGTTTCTGTTGTTGAGGATGCTCCTGTTAATGTGGTTTCAAGGTCTGATACTCAAATCCCAGTCGAGGAACCGCCGCGAATATCTATGAATTCCATCAATGAAGACGAGATTCTCCCTGGTGGGTCTGCTCAAACTAGGGATTATTATTCTGATTCTTCCTCACGGAGGAGGAAGAGTCTTGACAGGTCTAATTCTATTCGGAAGACTGCTGCGGCTGTGGTGGCTGAGATTGATGAGTTGAAGGGTGTTTCCAATGCCAAAGTGACACCAGCAACTGTGGATTATATCCAAGGGCCTAAATTGGTGGTTCCTGATAGGGATTATAGGGATTCAAACTCGAATTCTTTGAGGGATGATTGCTCTGAGACTTTTGATATGGGGTTCAGAGACAATGCATCTGTGGTGGGGAATGGTGAAAGGAAAGGGACTAAGAAGCCTAGGAGATGGAGCAAGGCGTGGAATATTTGGGGGTTTATACACCGACGAAGTGTTAACAAAGATGAGGACGAGGATAGGTATAGCAGAGCAAATGGGGTGGAGAGGTCTTTTTCAGAGTCTTGGCCAGAATTGAGAAGGGAACGCAACGGAGACGTAAGGGAAGGGTTTAATCCGAAGATTTTGAGGAGCAACAGCAGTGTTAGTTGGAGGAATTCACATAATTTTGGTGGGGGTGGATCTTTTAGCAGTGCAAGGAAGAGCAATGTTGAGACTAATGGAAATGCGAGAAAGAGAAGGGATGAGTTTGTGTTGGAGAGGAACAGGAGTGCAAGGTATTCACCAAGCAACATGGATAATGGACTGTTAAGGTTCTACTTGACGCCGTTGAGGAACAGTCGTCGAAACGGGTGGGGGAAGAGTAAGTCCAGTCATGCACAATCCTTTGCAAGGAGCGTACTGCGATTATACTGAATCGGCAAGTACATAAAGTGTTCTTTGGTTTAATGTTAATTTTGATGCATTTGTTGTGTAAGCACACATGCCTAATGTATTCTTCATCAGTTGGTTGGTTGGTTGGTTGGATAAAAGCACCCCTAAATTTGTTGCCTTTACTGTGAGTTGCATTGCTTCTTCTCAATTATTCTAATAACAAGAAATTTTTAGTGTTCTATGCTGTGTCTCCAGTCATTCTCTTGTTAATTGTTGGATTGTTTTTTTCTTTGGGCTTCCTATTTTGTCATGTTAATTTGTCTTTTTACCAGAACTAGTTAGGGCATAGAGAATATGTGTGCCTATTTGTGCAGATGTGCTTGCCCTTGAATTAATTGTTTTTTTTTTCGTTTTCCTCCTTGTCCTACATAGCAAAGATCCTGCTGATGGACTGTGCGAAGGCTGCAAGGTTGTTTCAGACATCCTACCTCAAATATTTGGCATATTACATATTCTTTGGGACAAAAAAGTTTCATGATGTGGGTTCATGCTCCTTAGCTTTTGTCATTGTTTCCAAATCAACAATGCACTGCCAACATTCAACACTGACTAATCGGGCAACTTTTTTGTAATTTGAGTAAGGTTTCTCTGAGTTCATTGTTTTGAGCCTGGAGCTTCGATGGTCCACGGACTGGTAATGCTTCTGCATGAATGGATAGAAGAAAATTATGTCCACAATTATTTCAACTTTTGTTGTTTCTTTTTTCGTTTCTTATATTTTAAGTCCATTCATTTTGTGCTAAAAATCATATCCAGTTCAACTGACATGATCATCTCTTAAATCCTGTAATTTTATTAAATTATCCCCTATTAGTGGCTGAGACGGAACTCAATATAATTTGGGGTTGGTCAAAATGGAGCAAATTTTCCTGTAATCTGAGTGCAGAACAGGAATTCAATAATCCATGCAGGATACCTTGCAGATCTCCACTTGATACTTACAGCTAAAACATGGAATTCTGGTGCCTGAGATAGCTAGTTGAAAAGAATGGTGGTTTGAGTTGATTGATGCAATATACGGAATCTTTTGTCTCCAATCTCCATGTAGCTAGTTTTTTTCTCCTCTTTTGTTGTCTGCCTTCAACTTGTGTTTTTGAAGTCATTACAGTGTTTTTTTCTTTCATGGAATACTTTACTCTCAGTGGAGCTTGTGGTATTTGCTGTCTTCCATGCTGGATAAATTCCAAACAGTATCCATTGCACAAGCATAGGAGTTTACCAAACTATACTGCTCAGTTTTTATTCCATTCTTTTCTGGTATTTGTCTGTTTCTTTCTGGAGTTGTGCCTTCACAAAGCCAAGGAGAGATTTTAGTTTCTGTGCATTCCCTTTTTCCTGCAAATGTACATATGGTTTTAGGATCTGCATTTTATGGATGTTAACAGGGTCAATCCAAAGCCTAAACTTGCAAAATGAAGACTAGGAGAGAGCTTTAGCCTTTGAAGCCCTTATATTCTGTGTGAAGTATTCTACCAAATTCCAGCCATAATGTTCACTAATGGTGGGCTACGCAAAATGCTCCTTATACTTAAGTAGGGCTCAAATCCCATTACGAGAACAGAAATCAAGCTAAGTAATGATTAGGTCATATGATAAATAAGATTTTTGTTCTCTTATTTGGACATCAAACAGATCTGCCTAATCAAAATTTTCAATCAAATGAGCTTGAGATCATGCTTTCTGCTTTTCTCTATATCTGTAAAAGCTCCATGATCAACAAATTTGCCTCTAAAGTCAAAAAGTGACTAGGAAAACATCCCAACACGTTCTCCTTCATGGATGATATAAAGAAAGAAAGAGGGAGAGGAAAAAAAAAAGGAGGCAAAAAAAGAGAGAGAGAAGGGCTCGGAACCCAACGAAATGTCAAGTTATTACCCCATAAGCTCAGTGTGAACTGGGCAGTAATAATAATTTTTTCTTTTTATTTTTATTTTTAAGAATAGTGGGTTGTAATAATTTTTTCAAGGTAATTCATACTTAGTTCATTTTGTCAACGGTTTTATACAGCCTTGTATGATTTTAACGCAAAGACATGCACTTTAGTTTTGTTTGCTTATGATGTTTTTATTCCACTGGAATTTGTAACGACAACCTAACCCTTTTTTAAGTGCCCAATGCTCATAAACAAGTCCCTTTGCAACCCCATTTCAAGCTTTGGGCTTCCAAAAGAAAACTTCTGCTGCAAAATATAGTTTTATTTAGAAATTTGCATACAAATTAGATATTTTATAGGCTCTTTATCCAATACCTTATTTTCAAGACTAGGACTATACAAACAGAAAAATTATACAAAATAATTATACTTATACTAAAAGTTGTGAGTAAATTATAAGTTAGTTCCTCTTGTTTTGAGAAACTAATTATTTAGTCCCTCAATATTAAGTATTTGTCAAATCTATCAAATTAACACCTAATACCTAAAATATCTTTTAATATACATATCCATTCATATAGGTATGTTTTGATAATTGAAAACAGAGAAAAGAAGTCGAGATTAATAAAATGAGAACCGTAGATTTAAGAAGAAAAATGAAGATTCGTTTTGACAATTGAGGAGAGAGAAAGAAAGGAGATGTGTTTGGAAAGAAAAAAGTAAGAGAAATGATAATTTAAAAAAAAAAAGTAACTCAACATCATTCTAATGAAAAATAGACAAAAGTATCAAGTTATACTCTAAATTAAAACATAAGAGATTAAATGCTTAGTTTTTAAAACTAAAAAGACTAATTAATTTGTTTCTCGAAACAAAAAAGACTAATTTAGATTTTACTCAAAAAACCATTCATTTCTTGCCAAAACATTTACTAAGATTCCTATATATGATTAGAGTTTTTCAATTTCAATTATAAACAGCAGGCATTATGATGTAATTGAGTGGATGACATCAAATGACCTTTTATTCAAATTAATAAATGATTTGAGCTAAAATTTCAAACAAATATACGTTATGTACTAGATTCGGCCCACTGGCAAAAGCACCTTATTTGCAATAAATTTAATTGACATGTCAAGCCCATCTAATCACCTTTCACATTATCTTTATAACAAAGAATGCCGGTTGGGTTAAATAGGTAAAGCTTGTATTATTGCATCAGTCCGGCTTACCATGAGGCTACTTGCATAAATTATCTGGAATTCATAGTAAAATGATTATGGAACTCATCAAATTGTGATTGTGGCTCATGATGAGTCAAATCATATGATAATTTCTGGAACCGTTGAAGTTGACAAACATGCACACAGATACGCACAAGTGCATCTTTCAGCATAATTTAAGATGGGTTTTCTTTTGTTCACATGATGTTCTTTCCAGAGTAAAAGAGACATCTAAACGATAGTTTGAAAATTTGGTCTCGTCATTGATCCTCTTAAAGGAGCCGGTTGCTAGGATATTGGGTTTAACCCGTGAATCATTCGTCCTGCTGCAAGTAAAATATGCAGATAGTTCAAATTTGTTAAAACAATCTTAAGAGAACTACGTAATATTAGGAAGAATGAAGGAATGCAATAACAAAATATTTCTAATGTTATATAACTTTTGATAGTCCAAGAAAATCCAGGTATTTTTACAAAACCCAATTAGGTTGGACCTTTTTTATAATCATGGGCTTTTTTTATGATTTTATTACCACTTGGCCCATCTCTATACATTATACTTCCCGTTGTACAAAGGAGTTGTCTCCTTCATAAAATAAATTTCCATCAACGCTTATACGGTTTTAAGGGGCTCGTTATCCCTCTCATATCCACACAATATACTAAAATATTAGCTTAACCATCATAACGACTTCATCGAGCATTACCAGTACCATTGATTTCGATATTTATGCTTCATGTTTGTAGGACTTGAGAGGACACCATCACTATTTTTTTCAACCCCTCAAGAAGACTAAATACCATATGCAATCAATCTAAACACCTAAAATCTCATGCATCACCAGTGGTGCCGTTTGTGGAGATCGACTTTCTCAGGTTTCAATCCAACAACAATAGTGTCTTCCTTCATACGAAACACCCGATCTAGTTGTAAAGTACATGCTTCACTTAATTGTCCATCACTTGAATGATGTGTTATGTCTCTTAATATGAAAATCAACTACAAAGATAACCATGAAAAAATACATATAAAAACCTACTAGTACTACCTTTTTTATGATAGGAGATAAGGCACTCTTAATCTAGCCTATGTTATGTTTTATCTCTACCATGCTCATGTGTTTTCTTTATATTATTAACTTACATTACATGATATACATGTATTCATCAATCCTAACACTTTCTCTCAAAAGACATTCTCTCAAGAGCTATCGGTTATTAATTTCATTAATATTTTATTACTATGATGAAAAAAGAGTAAGAAAAATAAACAAAAGCAAGTAAGGCCACGATGTGGCCATGCTTGTAATTAAAAAAAAAAAAAAGCAAGTAAAGCCACCATGTGATCATGCCTTTAAGTTGCAACACACTTATAATCTTAACACCCAATTGTCATTTATTTTTATTATTTCCTGTAAATATCAACTAACTATGTAGATCGACTGTTGAACTTCTCTTTTATTACCATATAGAATGATCTGTTTGAAGAATCACATTTGATGTCGGACCTTATTCATTATCCATTATCTAGTCATCCAATTAAGACATATTTGGTCGAAGAAAAAAATGCATACAAGATAAACTCGAGCAAACAAACTTAGGATAAAACCGACCAAAACAATTAAAAAAAGTTGTTTAAAAGTTAGTGTAGAATTCGAAAAAAGAAAGAGAAAGAATAAATGATAAATATAAAGAGAGAAAGAGAGAGAAGGAGGGAAAAGAGAAAAAAAAGACACGAGAGATGAAAATTGGTCGATCGAACCGCCATCATAGCTCCACCACCGAGCACGCGTCGAATGACCGGACTCCCCTTAATGAGAGGAAGCTAGTGCCACTAGTCTTAGTGCCTTATCACCCTTCAATTCGACCTTGAATTTGAGCTTGGCTTTCAAATTAGTCTCTAAACTCATCCATCACCACTCGTCAACCTTTGATATTGTGCATACAACAAGATTTGCCCTTTGTGCTCTTAACTTTGTTTTTGATGTCTATCAACTATCAAAATTATCCCTCCAATTTTAAAGACATGACTAGATGGATCCTAAAAGAGGTCCGTAAGTGTCCTAAGAAAATTTATACTCTTAGAAATCCACGTTTCTCCAAAAACCTATGCTCAATGAGTCCATTCCTTCAAATACTCACTCTTTAAAGAGTTCACTCCTTTAGGAGTCTATTTTTTAGGGAGTCTAGTTCCCTTCTAGAACCTATTTCTCAAGAAATCCACTCCTTCGGAAGTCTATTTCTCGAAATACACTCCTTCGAAGTCTATTTCTCCGAAATACACATTTTTATAAAAACACACTCCTTAGAGAGTCTAGTCCTCTAAAAATACATTTTTTTTAGGAACTCCTTACTCAAAAAGTCCATTCCTCTAGGAACCCACTCTTTAGGGAGTCGACTCTTCCTAAAATCCACGTTCTTTTAGGAATCGACTCTCTAAGGATTCCACTTCTCAAGGAGTTTGTTTTTCTAGAAATCTACGTTCCTTTAAAAACCCACTCTTTAAGGAGTTCATTTCTCCGAGAATCAACATTCTTCCGTAAGTCCATTCCTTTGTTATTTATGTGTTTAAAATTTGATCTGATTGGATTTGAGAATGTGATATTTTTAGAATTTATTCTAATTTTATTTTTATTTTTAAATAAAAAATAAAGGGTAATTAACATATTATCTATTGTCTAATTTTATTTTTTGTATAAAAATACCTAAAGAATTGTTAATCGATGATGAAACTAGCAATAAGTAACATTTTTTCTTATGGTGAAAAAAAAATCCAATATAAATTAATTGGCCAAAAACTTTATGGAAACCAATTGACTATTTTATTTTTTTATAAAGTCGTCTTTACATGAAATGTGGCTTTACATTGTCTAATGTTATTATGTCTTATATTTGTCATGTTTATTTATTGTGATGTCAATCTAGGTGAGTCTACATTAGTAAATTTAAGTGTTTATCCCACATTCAAACCTTGTACTCTTTGAATTTTTTTTATTTATTAAGATTCTCTATTTTTTTTTTTTTTTTTGGGTTGATTGAGACTCTCTACTCTTCAAAATTTGTCGATTCGGAGTTTTCGTTATAACTTTGTCAATTATTCATTTAACGTGGTAGGTTACTCTTAACGACCATCAATCATTGATCGACATATGGCGTTATGGGTTTTAAATAACAATGTTTTCGTCCAAAATAAAAAAATAATAAATTAATATTTTTAATTAAAAATTATTGAAAAAGATAAATTTATTTGCCTTACCATATTATTCCAAAATACTTCATTATCTCTCCTCTTGTCTCTTTCTAAACATGGACGACTTCACTTCTTGTTCTTCTCATTCTCCGATTGAAAACCCTAAGCTTTCTAAATCTTTCGGTCCCTCACTTTGCTTCTCCTTCTCCTTCTCCTTTGATTGAAACCCTAAGCTTCCTAAATCTTCAAGTCTCTCAATTTGTTTCTTCTTCTCCGATTGAAAAGCTAAGCTTCCTAAATCTTCTAGTCCTTCACTTCACTTCTTTTCCTTCTTCTCCAATTAGAACTCTAAACTCATTCCCTCTCTCTATATAAAAAAAACACTCTAATGTGTCATTTAAATATTAGGAATGAAAGGTCTAAAATAAAAATGTAGGAATAAGATTGAAAATTAGAGAATTAAAAAGACATTTGCATTCTCATATAGTGTTTAGAATACTAATAAGAAATCATAATAAAATTTAATTTTCTATTATTTGATTTTTAATACAAATAATAATAATGATTAAAAAAATAATTTCATCAACTATGATAGTAGTAAAAATAATAAAAGTTATTGGTGGTGATGGTCATGGAGGATGAAAAAGAGGTTGTAGTAATAACAATATAGTAATAACAATAATATATTTTTAAAAAATTGATACCATTACCATAGAAGGTGGCAATGGAAGAAGAGTGGTGGTGGTATAAAAATGATGGTGGTAGTGGTGAAGGAAGAGTAGTGACATAATAATAATTTTATGATTTTGAATGATTTAAGAATATAATATACGATTTGATATTTAAATTATGTATTTGAGTTTTGACAAATATTGATTGCATTTTAAGCAAATTTTAAATTATTATATGTTTATCTTTTTCCCTCACTAAGTCGTTATTTGCTCACATCCCACCATTTCAGTTTCATAAGGTTGTGAAATTATTCTTAACCTCTTCGAACTCGTTTGTTTTGAAATCGATACATTGATAGTGTAGCTTATTTATATCGTAATATTTTGAACTTGTATTTTAATATTGTTATACACTCTAGAGCTCTATAGTTATATTTGCAAAAATTGTATTAAGTTATCGATCTTGATTATTATTTTGAATATGTATAATTATAATAAAACTATAGCTTGAGCTTGAATTAAGGAAAAAAAATGATTAGTTAGATTGCGATATGAAGAATGGGATGAGAGTTATGTAAGATTGTTAACTTGAATATGAAATTATAGTTTGTGTTAGAATAAAAAAATATTAATTAATTAAGTTGTGATATTATAAATTACATGGATATCTTCATTACTACGGATCTAATAAACATGGTTTAGATATTCAAAATTTGTTTGAGTGGAATTAGGTCCCACAACGTCGTCAATTCTTACGCCGATTATGATCCATTTTGGAGATTATGACATTTTTATCATAGGCTTGTGACTATTATTGCATTATTTGACAAGTAAACTCAAACCTATGATCCAAATTTACTTTATTTTTATTTTTATATTTTGTATGTGACTTGATTGCTTAATCTACAAATAGACTTTAAGCCACGACTTTAATCTTTCCAAATAGGTTCCAACAATCCACCGACAACTTAGTTAAAAGATCAAATATTTTTTCAGTTTTCAAATCACCTCATCTTGAACTCGATTAGATTAAAACTTAAATAATCAAACTTACAAGTCAAAATAAACAAGAAGACATGAAATAAAAGTGCATAATTGAATTTTTATAGGCTAAAAATACAAGATAACCTCATTATGAAAGCACATTAAGATGATTGTGGCCTTCTCGAATTGTATAACAAATCTTTTTAATCAAAATTCTTAAAACTAGTCTCTTCGAATATTTTTAGTTTTCATGGCAATTCTATTTTTTTAACATGCATTTTTATGATTTTCAAAAGGTCACAATGTGAGAGCACTCAAAAAGTAATTGGTAATACGTACTTTATATGAGATAGATTGATTTGAGGAAAAAAGAAGAGAGATATGAGCAAGAAATAAAAAAAAGAAGCTTATATGAAAATACTTTTATTGTTTTTGAAAATTCAAGTTTGACTTTTTTTTTCTTTTTTGTGTCTATCTCTCTCCTCATAATGAATCCATAAAATAAATGTTATTAATTTTAAAATTTCTCGACAACATGAATTCTTTCTTAATGACATGGATTTTAGAAAAATTAAAGTTTTATTAAAAAAATTGATACTTAGAGAGAAAATTTCTAATGCAAACAAAAATAGTAATAAATTTTATATTAAATTAAAACTAACAAATTTCCCAATCAATCATTATAAATGCAATCTCTTTAGTTTATGATCCTTGAGAGAGATCAAAGGAACAGTAGCAACTCTTTTTCCTAATTTCTTTGAAAACATCTGCTTCTGTCCTTCCGCTATTAGTAGGCCAAATTCTTGTTCCCAACAACTTCAAAGTTTTGGGATTATCATAATAAGGGTCCTCTCTATCCACAGCCCCCTCCATTCTGGAATGTCAGCTAGGAAACCATGCCCAATAGGTATAACTGGTCTTGACTTACACTCAAGAAATGTAGTTTTGCACCAAAGTGTTTCCTTTGAACTTGATGAATTTGAATCAGAAACCAACTCGTTAGAATCCATCGAGATTGAGGATGCATCCTCAATAACCAAGCTTTTCGAATCCGAATGTGAAGCATCAATTGATTCATCCATATTACCTTGGAAAGAAATATTGTTGTTGGATGGATTAAAGTGTGCACCTTCATTCTTATTGTCAAAATTGAAGCACAACTGCACCTTTTTTTGAAAGTTATCGTCGGATGTTAATATACTATATGAACTACATGAGTTTAGAAATTTTTTGGCACTAGCACATTCAGTTGAATCAACTAAACTAGTAGAAGAGGAATGTACAATAGCCAATTGTTTAGCATTTTGATCATTTAATCTCTCCGAAGCAAATTCAAGAGTAGTCGTGAATTTACCACTTCCTGGAAACAATTGAAATTTTCGTTTTCTCTGCTGAAATGAAAGTTAAAACGTTGATAATGGTAATGTTTGAATTAAATGGATGCAAGATTACACCCAGATTGACAATTGACATCAAGTGAGACTTCAAGAAATCACTCTAATTATGATGGAACATAATGCATAAGTTATTGCTTAGCTCTTCTCCATTACAAATCCTAACCGTGGTTTGGAGGTTCAAAAATCAATATATTAGATAGTTGATTGAGGAGAAAAAATGATTGAAAATCACCAGAAGTTCTTGAGAGATAATTATAATTTACTATATATATCCATTAAAGAAACTTTATATTAGTCAGGGAGTAGTTAGCAATATTTCGTGTAAGGATAGACGGACATAAAAAAGAGAGAAAGAAGGTTGTATTAGGATCCAACAAAGGGGATTTGATAATTTCAAGAAAATATTTTTTTCATGGAGTAACATTGATAATTATTCTAAAACAATATAAAAATCTGTTTGTCTTTTGTCTATATTTTAAGTGTCATTTGGTTATCAAAAATAAAAAAATTCAAAAAATACAAAATTTAAAATAAAAAATAGAATGAAAATTAAAAAATCAAAAATGTATTTTCATTCCAACACTGTAGTTAGAATAATAATAAAAAATCATAATGAAATTTTAAATTTTTAATATCTAATTTTAAGACGAACATTTTTTTTTTTGAATTCCTCTATAAATAAAATTGAATATTAGAATACAAATAATGTAATAATAATGGGCCATTTTTTAAAAAAATTTATTTTGATGACAGACATCAAATTAGTTTGATAAAATTATCAAAACATATATGAGTAGATATTAAAATAAAAATATGATAATAAATAATCCAATTCAAAAAAAAAAAAAATCTGATTTTGATTACAGAGATTTTGTACATATCTACAATTGAACACTCTTGTAAATGTTCAAGAGAAAATAAAAGTTCATGAATTTTTGGATATCAAAACCTTATATATATATATATATATATATATATATATATATATATATATATGTATGTATGTATGTATATATATATAAAGGAGTTCTTAATTCAATGAAATCCATTTTTTTATTTTGAGCTCTCTAAACGTTCAGGACAATATGGATACTATTAACATTATATTATCTATGAACTATTTTATTTTAAAAACTATGTTTCTTTATATAAGACAGGAAAAGAAAAAAAAACTACACGCATAAATAAAAGTTTAAGAATTCTTTTTGTTAAAATATATCTTTTTTCTAATAATAAAAGAGCCTCTACATGAACATTGATGCAAATTTTATAATCCATTCAAAAAGATATGTAAAAAAAAATATTTGAATTCTTTTTGCTAAATAGATCTTTACCAAATTTCTTTGAAAATAGTGTTTGCCAATAAAAAAAATCCTTATAAAAATATTTGGATCCAATTTAGTATTATTTTCTTAATATTAGTAGAGTTTGTCAAATGAAATAATACATACATGTGTTCTAAATCCTTTCATCCCTAGAAGTAATATCACACAATAACATAAAAAATCTTTCAAAAAAAGTAAATAAGGAACCTATTTTAAATTTTATTAACTTGTATTTTTAGATTCTAATATCATTAGTTTTTATTGGATTGTAATATAATCAAGGAACCTAATTTTTTTTTTAAAAGTTTTGAGAGTCAAAATAGATTGCAAATAAGGGACTAAAATTTCTCGGATAGGAGTGATATAATTTTTGTTGTTGTGCTTTTAGGGTTTTAAAAGGTGCATAAATAGAAAGACAAGGCAAAACCAATATTTTGACCTATTTGTTTAGGAATTTGATAGTTTTCACATATAGTTTTTTTTTCTTAACTACACATGAGTGAAATTTACATATTAGTATAGTATTAAGGTGTCATTTGGTTATTAGAAACGAAAAATTCAAAATGAGAACGTAGAAATTGACATGACAATTGAGGAATCGAAAAAATATTTTTTTAATACTATATTTGGAATAGTAATAAAGAATTGAAATAAAATTTAATTATTTTAATATTTGACTTTTAAAACAAAAAAATAATTATTACAAAAATAATTTCATTAATTATAATGATAGTAAAAATAATAGAGATAATTGTGATAGAGTTAATAGTGAAGGAGGAGATTGTAGTTTGTAATTCCAATGTAGTAATAACAATAATATATTTTTAAAAAAATTAATTTCATCACGATAAGAGGTGGCAATAAAAGAAGAATGGTGGTAATAGTATAATAGTAGGGATAGTAGAAATAGTTGATTCACACATTAAATAACAAATAATATATCATTATTTTTTTTAAAAAAACCTCAATCTCTCTTTTTATTTCCATCTCCTCCAATAAAAATAAAATTATATTTAGTTTTTATTTGTATTCATAATCTTCATTCTCATTTTATTTTTTTTCAATCAAACACTTATAATGTGTGAATAAAATTTTCATTTTTATTTTCACTATTTCACTTTTTATTACCAAACAACACCTAAAAATATAATAGTTAAGCAAAAGTTTTTAAATAATTGATGCTTTTATATATAGTTATGCATCATATCGTGGATATAAAGACATGAAGATTAATGGGACTTACTTGAGGAAATTCAGCACTGCTCAGGCTCAAAACTTTTCGTATGGTAAGAGTTTGGTTCCTTAACTTTCTAACCAATACTTCTGGAGTGCAAGGATCCAAGGCAACTCGCTTCAACCACCCTAGCAATTCAGAATCAGTTGATGAGCCAAATAATGATTTTCTTTGATCAAGGTAGTTTCCTTGTGGCGATGAGGCTTTCTGATCAATGCCAAGCTGCCTACAATTACAATGGCTTCGCCTTATGACCATGTTAGTAAACTTTTATTTCCTTCGCTTCCTTAAATTCAACCCTGAAATCAAAGCTCACACCATTACTGAAGCCTATCCCTATGCGCATAGCACATAATTTTATATAGCAAGAAAAGAAGTTAATTAACATTTTTCAAATTATGAGATTGCGCAATTAACCACAAAAAATTGTATTAATTTCATGCGTTTCAACCAGGCGTACTCTAAGTACTGCAACTACTCAAATATTAGTTTCAAATCATTAATAAAACCATTCAAACCAAATCCATTATCCAAAACTTGGTTACATCTAAAATAAAATTTCAACAAAATTGCAAAACCAAACTACAAAGTTCCTCAATAAAGAGTTCTTATCATCTATCAAACATACCACAATGTGAAATCAAATTACTAATATAATAACATCTCAAATTTAGAAAAAGCTATAACACAAAACCTCTCAAAATAAAAATCTTCTCTTGGGGTTAAAACCAACAATATATTAATTCTTGTTAGATAATAATAAATATAAAGAGAGTTAAAACATGAATTTATATAGAACTCGTTAAATTACTTATATCAATAGATGAAAATAGTGAAATTCACCTCGTGTTCTCATTATCCAATACAATATATTTTAACTTCTTTATCCAGGTATGGTATAAAACAAACCACGTATTATTAAATGTTAGAACAAAACAATCCTTCTATCTACCTCCGTTAACCATATATCATCATATAATTTGTCAAACGTGAAAAGGATTGGTTTGTTCTAACGTTCTGTAACATAATTTATTTTATGCCATACTTAGATAATAGGGTTAAATTAAACAATACTTGATAATACAAAGGCACGAGGCAAATTTCAACGGGTTTTGCACATATCAAAAGCCCATGCAATTTGAATTTTTTTTTATTGAGACTAAATTTTTTTCGTCTAATTTAAGAATTCTACTCTTATATTATTATTTTAGATTCTAATGTACCACTTAAACATATATAGTAAGCTTTAATCGACATTAGCTTGCCACGTGTCATGGTGAGTCCAAATTAAGTTTTAACAAAAATTAAAAATTTTGTAATGAATTTTAAATAACTAACTAAATAATAAACCTAAAAATAGGTTAGAAAATATCATTCTATCCTTACCTACTAAAACTAAAAACTCTCTCATCTCTCATTCATTTCAGTTTTTTTCCTTCTCTTTCCTCCTCCGATTGCAGTCAACTTAAAATCCTCATTTTCCCAATTTTCCAATTATAAACATTAATTCTCATTTCTCATTTAACCTTTTTGCTTTCTTTCTCCTTCTGTTGCGTTTTATTGATTTTATGGATTTTCCATCCCTTAAAACTACATCCTTCAAAGAAGGTACCTCTTTATAAATTTTATGAATTTTCTTTAAACTTTCATTAACTAGAAGGATTGATCTATTTTTTGTATTTTACATGCGAATATGCAAATAGAGCTCCTTAAATGTCCATTCTGCACATCACTATCAATAGAAGGCAAAATCCAAAAGGAGACAATTGATTTTGCAGAAAACAAGACACCTCAGAACTGGTTCCAGAGACAATTTTCTAGACAAATGAATCAAGATTCTGATTCCAATAGAATATAGCAGGCAACTGCTAGTTATGCAATAACATCATTGAACGCATCAAGCATCCGAGAACAGAAAAAGATCAACAAGCGCCCTAAGCTTTTATTAACCCAAACCAAGAGCGAAAAGAAAGAATTCATAGATTTAATCTCAGAATCTGGGAGGATATGTAAACAATTTTCAGGTAAAAAAAATTAGAATAAACTAGTCAAAGATACGAGTTCCTAAAGGTAATTCCTTGAACAAGCATTAATTAACTAACTCTAATTAGGTGAAGGTTTAATGAGAAGTCTTGAAAGACAAGATAGCAAGGTGACAGAAACAGATACCAAACAACAAGAGAGGTCGTCACTGCTACCCCGAAGATTAAAAGGACCCTAACATTTATTGACAAGTATCCTCCATCAATGAAAAAAACCCCATCCTTCGCTAAAAATGAAAAGCCTATAATTGATGTGAAGATCACCTTAATTACCAACACAAGGAGAAAAAGAAAGGAAAAGAGGTTAAGAGGGAAATGAGGATTATGGTTTATAATTAGGAAATTAAAAAAAGGAGGATTTTAAGTTGATTGCAATCAAAGGAGAAAAGAGAAAAGAAAAAACTAATGAATGGGGGAGAGGGAGAATTTTTAGTTTTAGTGGGTAAGAATATAATGATATTTTCCTAATCTATTTTTAGTTTTATTATTTGATTAATTATTTAAAATTTGTCATAAATTTTTTTTTATTTTCGTTAAAACCTAATTTTGACCCACTATGATATGTGACAAACTCGTCATTGGCTAAAACTTATCATGTGTACTTACGTAGCACATTAGGGTCTAAAAAAATAATAATATAAGAATAGAACTCTTAAATTGAATAGAAAAAATTTGGGATCTTAATAAAAAAATCCAAATTGTACAAGAGCTCGATATGTGCAAAACCCACGGTTCAACCTAAACAAAAAGCAATCAAGATTTCAATAAATCAAATAAAAGTGGACACAAAATACAAACAATCATTTACGTTCTTGAGAAATGACTAGGTTTGGCCCATTCCTTGAAAGAAGCTTTGATGGGATCTCTATCTACCAAGATTTTTACTCCTGCTTTCCGCAAATGAATGATCATTAAGTCTTTCTCTTTTCGAACAACAAATACAAAAATATTCGCCAGCACTCACTTAAAAACAAAAATCTTAAATCACACATACACTCAAATACTCTCAAAACTCAATCAAAAAAAAAAAAAAACAATACAATAGAACATACAAATCGTAATGGATACTCTCTCAAACACAAGGGAATTTAATCTTACAAAAATTCTCATTCACAAAGATAGGTGATTTTTTCACTTAAAACTCTAAAGGCTCTCGGACAACATAGAAAAGTGGTTACACACCTAAAAATCATCAACTCATTTTATCTATACCAAAAATAGCCAACCACATCCAAGAAAGGATTTTCGATCCTTATCACATGGTCATGCGACTAATTAAAAGAAAGGAAGCGACCAAGATATATCTTGGTGTACCAAAAGTAACCATGGAACCTCCTACAAGTTTAAGCCACCTTAAGAATACTTACTCTTTATATTTCTAGAATACCAAATCCTATTCATTATTGTACAATCCCCATTCAACTGAAATAAGTAATAGGAATACCAAAAATATTCTCTAAAAATTGGAATATAATACAAACTCCAACAAACTCCATCTTATAGCAAATTTACTAGGTATCACATCATCTTCAAATTGAATTCTTGCATCTTCTAAGTCTTGAATCATCATTAGAAAATTAATCATCAAACCATGAACAAAGTTTACTACTTTTCAAAAATTTTCACCTCAAGCATAAGTTTCTTTCAATGTTGTCATCTTCAACCTTCGACTTCGTTACAACATCTCATGTAAAAATCGTAATCTATTTTAACTTAATGTCACAAATGAACCATGAATTGTGATACATTGTGACCGATTAATGAGCAATCAACCTCAAAATAAATAACAAACGCATACAAATTTAATGGATTTGACTAGGCCTATTCTACAAATAACTTCACTATTAAAATATTAGGACAATCACTAACCAAACCACTAAAACAAAACTTACAACCCAATAGTCAGATTAAGATCACCATACATCCTTTTAGGATACCTATTTTTTGGTTAGATTAACTCCTCCACATGTGAAAGGCTATACTTGACTCATCTAACACATGAATTGGAGCATTTAGAATAAATATTGTTAGTTGACCAATTATTAGCCGATTAGATATTGACATATGTCCTAGTCATGCTAAAAATAGGTTGAAAATGGTCCGAGTTCGGATGGTAAAGGGTCCGATACCATACAAGAATGTTTGGTGATTTTAACTATCCAAGTTAGTCTATGAACAAAGATATAAAACCAAAGCCAAAGACAACAATCTCTTACTATCATAATACGATTGGATCACACGATTGATTAAAAAACATAAAAAATTGACACACCAACATATAAAAAGCTCTAGTGAAATTGGGATGTTTATCGAGTAGGGATGGCACTAATGATGTTTATCGAGGAGGGATGGCAATAAGGTGGGTATGGGAAAAGTTATATGTCCTCCACCCCCTTGAATTTTACACATACTTAAATATAGATAATAAAAAGATAAATTCAACAACAAATTTACTTATTTAAAAAATTAATTTTAAAGAAAATATTTGAGAAGAGACCAAAATTAATATATATAATCAAGTTTAGATTCTCCATTAGGACCATATGTTCCCATCCATATTCTCATATCGTTTTCGGATTTTGCTGGATCTTTGTCAAGGTCTACCAATACATATATGTGTATGAATTCATACCCATATATCAAATATCTACCATGAAGTATGCTTTTATTATTGCATGAAAATAGACAATTTCATAGTGATTGAATGTATAAACTATAAGGATTCAAAAGGAAAAATACCTTGAGGAGACACCAACTAAATATGCAATTATATTAAATAATAGAACACGGTAGCCCCCTATTTGAGGTGGTTGGCCGCCAATAGATGCTTCTCCTTATCATGAAAGACCCATACAACATCTACATACAAAACCTAACCGCCTAATTATTTTAGAAAGGAAACCAACCACCAAATTATTTTGGAATGGAAAACCTATTTGCAAGAAGTTACTCTAAAATAAAGAGGTGTTTGATAACCTAATTAAGTAGCTTAAAAAATTAAGTTGTACTACTTAATATAAAAATCTTGTTTGATAACTTAAATAATCTCATATTAAAACTTTAAGTTCGGTTAAAATCTACTTAATCGGATAAGTTAAATTTTTTAACTTATCCGATTGAGTCAAACTATCTAAAACATACTCTCTCTCTCTCTCTCTCTCTCTCTCTCTCTCTCTCTCTCTCCATATATATATATATATATATATCGAATTATAA